TTGAAGGAGCATCATCACCCAACACATTTACCATTTCATTATGAATTTCCATGGGCTTTAAACCTTTTTTCACAAAGAATTTTATTACAGCACGATGTTCAATATTTTCCATTTTAAAAAATACTATGACACGTCTAATTTCAATAGCTTGTAAACAAAGACTGAAATGACATATCGACTTGAAATTTTTTATGCGTTCATACGAAGAATGAATACGTTTAATACAGTTATAAATTTGTTTCTACTACTGCAACATAGGTGCCGCTCCGCGAACTTTTCAACCAACCTAGTAATTCGGTAAATAACCAATCAAAATAACCAATGTCTGGAGGTTTCTCCAATATATCTGGCAATACGGCCAGCGCAAGAAAATTTATAGACAATATGAGATTTAAGCAGTTTAGGAAGTGACTCTTAAACAAAAACAATCTTCTATTTCATAGGTATTGAAAATTAATTTATTAGAACATCCTTTCAATATTTATGAAAAATTTTTGAAATTTTCATTTTAGTATAATTAGAGTACATTTCAATGTCTGGAAGCTTAAAGTATCATGTATTTAAGCTGTTAGTTAGAAACAGATGAGTTCATTTTTTTATCAATAAAGGATTTCATTTCAGAGTCAATAATTTTTTGTGGAAATGTATTATTTATCAAAACTAATGATAGATCCTAAATATCTTTATCAAAACCAACCCAAGTATTAGTAATTTTAAATGTATGATTAATCAAACAACTAAATTTTACCTAAACAAATTTGTACATAAGAATCATTTTCTATTGTTGAATAATTAAAATAAACTAATGTAACTAATAAATTTATCGTTTCATATGATGTTAAAGTTTGTTCACAAATATTCCACATAAGAATACCATCAACATAGCAACTGATTTTCTTTTTTAAAGATAAAATTAACTCAAAACATTATTCAAAAATTTACTTTATGAATATAAATTTGTTATGAGTTCTGCTTTAGAGTCTTATATTTTAGCTAATATTTTCGTCAAATTTCATGAACAATCATGGGCCAATAACTGCTCATTTACAGCACAATTATTTTATAAACGGTATGTGGATGACATAATTGCTATTTTTAATTCTGAATATGAAGCTAAAGAATTTTTCAAACACCTCAATAAACAACATAAAAATTTGATTTTTACAATTTAAAAAGAACAAGATAACGAGATTGCAATTTTAGATGTACTTATTAAAAAATTGAATTCGTTTTTGACTTCAGTTTATCACAAAAAAATGTATACAGGTCTTTTACAAAATTTTTTAAGTTATATTCCTTCTTGCTACAAATTTGGACCTTTTCGTTGTTTAATTTATTGTATATTTAAAATTAATATTACTTGGGTTGGTTTTGATAAAGATATTATCATTAGTTCTAATAATCAATAAATTTCCACAAAAAATTATTGACTCTAAAATAAAATCCTATATTGATAAAAAAATGAACCCATCTGTTTCTAACTAACTGCTTAAATAAATGAATGATACTTTAAACTTCCATACATTGAAATGTACTCTAATTATACTAAAATTAATATTTCAAAAATTGTTCATAAATATTGAAGAGATGTTCTAATAAATTAATTTTCAATACTAATAAAATACAAGATTGTTTTTGCTTAAAAGAGTCACTTTCTAAACTGCTTAAATTTCATGTTGTCTATAAAATTTCTTGCGCTGGCTGTAATGCCAGTTTTATTGGAGAAACCTCCTGATATTTGGTAACTAGAATAAATGAGCACACTAAAACTGATAAACAATCTCATAAAATTAAACACTTAAGTTTATCTATTACTTACAAAAATCTGGCTAACTGTGATTCTTTTGAGATTATGGATAATGCCCCAACCAAATACAAATTAATGAAAAAAGAAGCCTTCCACATTAAATGGGATAGTCCCTCACTTAATAAACAAACTTTACATTAAGCTATAAACTTATCTATTTAATTATACTGTCAGTTTATTATTATTTACTTATTTTATTTTTTTGACAGTTGGTTATTTTGATTGGTTATTTACTGAGTTATTTTGTAATAAATATATTGGTTTGTTAAGTAAATATTTGTCCATTATTATTTCTATTTCGTTAAGACTTCTATTATTTAAATATTTATTTCAGAGTTTTATTAAAAAAAAGTTTTATTGTAAGATAATCTTTTGAAAATGTAAATAAATTTTACAAAACATATAAAGAATAAAAAACATCGTGTTGTTTTTAAATATATATATATATATATATATATATATATATATATATATATATATATATATATATATATATATATATATATATATATATATATATATTAAATACGCTCAAAAAATTCGCGTCATGAAGCATAAAGACAAATCGGTGTCAGATAGTGCCTGACACTACCTGGCACCGACTTGTCACTCTTATTTTTGCAATAACTCATAAATAAAAAATAAATAATAAATTTAAGTTTATTCTAAAGTACAATTGCTTTTCTTCGAAAATAATAAAGATTTAATAAAAATTTTATAAACAAAAGATATTAATAAATAGATATTATACTGCATTTCCTCGATAAAAGAAAAACAGCAAAGCATGCGGAATTTTTGTTTAATGCTATAACCTTGCAAGATTAAAAGTTTGATTGTAATTATCGTTTTAACACAACAGTAGATTATACCAGTGAATTGTAGCAGTAGTATTTTAGTATTGTTGTCGTATTATTAAAGAATTGTTGTAGTACGATTAATAGAGAGTAGGGATGATATTAATCAAAATGCTTGTTGGATTAAGACAAACGAATTAAATTCTTCAGAGTATCAGACTAACGTAATTACGAATTTTAACAATTATTTTCTTTAAAAATTAAACACTTTTTAGTTTCCGTATAATAATACGATTTAAATTCTTTTGTTTGAGAATACCACGCTATAGACACTCAATGTTGGTGGTGATTCTTTTGAAAAACAAAGAGTTGCAATGTTTCTAAAAACACGACTTGAAAATTAAATATTTATATATATATATATATATATATATATATATATATATATATATATATATATATATATATATATATATATATATACACACACACCATAGTATATATATATATATATATATATATATATATATATATATATATATATATATATATATATATATATATATATATATATATATATATATATATATATATATATATATATATATATATATACACACACACACCATAGTATATAATATAAGTTTGCAATTACAAATTAAAGAAAAATATTAAATGCTAATCTAAATGTTGAGCGAAAAAAGTTTTGCACATTGACATCAGTTTGTGGCAAAATAAACCTTTATGCGTCAAGTTTCTCTTGCATTTATCTTACATTTTTTAATTAATTTCATTTTTGTTGCATAAAAATATATAAGACTGGTACAGATATATCACTGCACGGATAAGAGATTATATTTATTACAATAGTAATAAATAAATAGCTTTTGTCTTTATTAGAATATATCCCATAAAAATATATTTCATATTCCTTTAACAGAAGAAGTTTTTTTTAAAATTTAAATAAAATCCTTTTTCTAGTTTCTTTATTTTAGTTTTTTGCCACAAAGTAACGTCACGCAAAAAATTTTAGCTTTAACGGTTTACGAAAAAGCCTCGACTATCACTTTTAATGGCTTAAGAATTAGATGATGTCATGTTAGCAATCAAAAATTAACAAGAGAGGGGCAAATGACGTAGCTTTGGTTGAATCTATTCAACGTAAAGCAACAAAATGGGCTTTAAGCATGAAAAATCCTCAATACCACGAAAGGCTAAAAAGACTAAGTCTACCATCAATCGAGTTGCGGCGTTTGCAATCTTATCCAAAATTTTAAACTAATACATTGATTTAATATAATTAATAATACATATCCACCAAAATTTATTAACTCATAGTCACGTGGTCATCATTTTACAATAAGACGTGAATATGTTCCAAACTGTCTCCCCTAAGAGACAACCAACTGTATAATATATAAGCAAATACTGGAACAAACTATCTAGCTTTATACTTAACTATCTAACTTTATACTTAACTTTTATTCAAAATTAGATTAAATCACCGGTTGAGGATAAAATTCGAAACGAATACTTTTAAAACTGGTCATTTATAGTAGAGTATTTTCTTAGCTCGCAGTATGTATACATTGGATGTATATTTTACGGATACAACTAGATATTATTATATAATAATTATAAAAAATATTAATATTATCTTAGCACTTGCAATCTGTAGTTTTGTTAATAATTGGCCTTAATGTAAGACCAAAATTTAAGTCTTTGGCCTTGAAAGTATTTGCGTAGCCCTTGGTCTCAAAACATTTGTCCTTGGTATTGACCTCGCTATTTTGGCTTTGTTAACAACTGTAGTGGGGGGCCAATGTCCTTTGCCCTACCCCCTTCCCCGGTGTTGTCGGCTCTGTCTACTGCTAAAAAATTAGCATAAAAAATTGAATATTGGATTTTTATAGACTAATTGCGTCAATGGTAAATTATGCAAAATTTAAAGTATAATTAAATGGATGACTAAATACCGGTATTTATGTAAGAATGAAGCTATTTCGTTTGGAATGGTTGAAAGTTATTTGTTTTTTTATTTAACCGAAATCTATTAATTTTATGTTAAACTAGTTAGTAAATGAGTTTTAAAATTTAAAAATACCTTAGCATGAGAAAGAAAAAAATGCCAATCATTTTTAAGCTTTTGTTCATCAGTTTTTATCTGTAATCTTATTAATACTGCACTGTTGTCTACATAAGCCTGAATTTCTCATTTCACATAAAAAAATTTTAAGATTTACATAATGGACATAAGATTTCTATAGTGAACAACTTTAAATTATTCTCTTTATTTATTGATTTATTTTGTTACTTTTTACTTTATTACATTTTACTTTTTAAAATTTTATAATGTTTTTAAAATATTTTAAAACTTTCAATTGACATTTTTTTCATTCAAGCAAAAAGTAGAAACAAATTTATTAGTTAACTATGAGTTCATACCTTCTAATATTGCCCATGCTAATGTCCGTATACGGCTTAGGTATTCCAAGGCATAAAAATATAATTAGAGGTAGGTTATTTTTATTTTAGTAGGTGCCCAGGAAAAAAAGTTTTAGAGAATTTCATATAAACTATTAAAACATATGGCCTATAGAAAATCTATAGAATTCTATAGAATTTCTGTAGAGTTTCTGTTAACTTCTATAAAAATACCAGTTGAAATTTTTTTTCCTACTATTTTTTAAATAGAAGAAAATGTTTTATAGCAATTTCTATAGAAATTATTACTATCGCATACTATTTTTTAAATGAACGTGTGCTAGCAAAAGTTGAATAATCACGTTAAAAAGATAATTAATAATATAGATAATTAATAAAAGAGATGATAAATAATTGAATAAATAGATTATTTTTATAAATTTCGCTGTATCATACAAAACTGAGGATCTTTTTTCTTTTTAATATATGTTTTCAGTCCCCACCCTAACTTTCGCGACCTTCCTACACCGCTGTATATATATATATAAATGTATATATATAAAATAATATAATATAATAATATTAAATAAAAAAGCAAGATAAAAAAATGTAAACTATATAAAAATTTAAATTGTATTTTTTTATACTTTTTTTTTTAAATAAATTATTCAAATCTTTTAAGAAGCGATTAAAAGCAAATATTTAAAACTTAAATATTTAAAAAGTTTATTAATCGTAAAAATGATCTCTTTTTTTTCTTTTTTAATTTTTAATTTTTTTTATTTAAAAGGAATAATAACTCCATGAAAATGCTTTTGTTCCATAAAAATGCTCTGCGAAATGGAATGCAAGATTTGCAAATATTTAATTTAACTTTATTTCATTTTAAAAATTCATAAAATTTGAAGTAAATTAAAATAAACCGGTTGGCAAAAATTTTGTTAACCCAAAGTTGGTAGTATTTTTTTTTACTAGAACAAATTTAACTGAATCTCCAAGTCATATAACTGAATCATATTGTACATAATAGAGTTTATACTATCAACTGATACTGCTAAATGACAGTTTTTTATTTAAATTAATGATTATTAAATTATAAATATATTATTTTTATTAAATAGTTTAATTTAACAAACCTCTAATAATACCGAGGTTTATTAAATTATAATGATATTTCAACTTTGATTATTAAATGGTACTGTAGCTTCTCCTAGTATTTTTGGTTCATAAGTTCAATTCTTTATTAGTTAACGATAGGTCATTAGGGAGCTACAATATAGTTTAATATAGTTTCTCCTCTAGTATCGCTATTTTAAATAAATCTATACATTTAGTTAAATAGCGATACTAGATGAGAAACATTATTACGAAAGAGATACCACACAATTAATTATTTTAAAGTTGTGATACTATATGAAACATTTAATAATTATTATGATTTCACACAAGGGAACATGATTTTTGTGGGTTTTTATTATAATTTAAATGTGAATTTTATAACTGACCAGTATTATTTAAATTTACTATTTCAAAATACTAATAGAGTATACAAATAAAATACACTATATATATATATATATATATATATATATATATATATATATATATATATATATATATATATATATATATATATATATATATATATATATATATATATATATATATATATATATATATATATGGGTCCGGTATTTTTATATTTTATTATATATATATAAGGAAAAAATATTAAAAAGTTCAGTGTAGAATAGATTTACAAAGACCTGCATTTTTACGGTCAGATCAGCTAGTAATAATAATAATAATAATTCAAAAGACAAAAACAGTAATCAAAGGAACAAAAATGAAGTCATTTGTATATAATAACAATACTCCTACTAATATTAAAACTAGAAAACAAATACTTAATAATATCGACAATAGATAATAATAATGATAATAAAAATAATAAGAGCTGATTAAAATAATGAAATAATAGATAGTAATGGTTAATATTATGAATAATGGTAGAAGGAAAAGAAGTGTTATCCAATAAAGAGAAAAATTATTGAATTAGAGTTGAGGATAATAGGATAAAGAGAAAATACTAATACTAACTTAATATTTAATATAAATACCAATAAACATAACTATAAATATTTAGTATAAAAATATTAATTGAATCTAGTATGAACATTGAGTATAGTAATTATGGTTATAATACTCCTTTATTTTATGCATAGCTGTCAAAATAGCTTTGTTTAATTTTACTTAAAAAAACACATCTTGAATATCTTTAGTTTTTTCGGAGTACAAACTCCAATCACACAAAATATAAAGGCACTAAATGCAACAGTATTTACATTTACAGTATGCATTGTTTACTATCTTTTTCGAATAGTGGTCTTTTTATTCGTAAAATATATTATGATATCTCATTTCTTAATAGATATTATGATATCTCATTTCTTAATAGATATTATGATATCTCATTTCTTAATAGATATTATGATATCTCATTTCTTAATAGATTCTTACTTTTTTCCATTTACTACCTTTATGGCAAAATTAAAATCAGTAAAACTAATTTTAACAATTAACAACATTTAAATCTGAATAGCATGTGACAGATTCAGAAAGATATAGTAAGTTAATAATAATAATAATAATAATAATAATAATAATAATAATAATAATAATAATAATAATAATAATAATTACAATAAAAAAATAATAATGTGTGTTATCTTTTAACAATTAAAGCTTTTAAGTTAGAAAAGTTAAAAAGTTTTTAATAAATTTTGACAAATCTTTTAAAACCTTTTTTTACTTTCTTCACAAAACAAACTATCTTTATATTTTATAAAGCTTTCATGTGTTTCCAGCTTTATAATATATTAGTTTTAGTGTAAAATTTTACTTCGGGGCGGAAGAAACAAAAAATGATTATGAAAAATTGTGGTAAAAAGCTAGAATATATTGACAAGTTTTTGTTACTCTGGAAATGTTATTAAATTTGAAAGCGAACATTATGAGCAAATGTAAATGTAAATGAGCAAATGTAAAAGTGCTATAAGAGTGCAATATTGCATCAAACCAGTTAAATGCAACATTTAAAAAAAAATCAGGGGTTAATGACGCTTAAGCATGTTAACAAATTTTTTTTTTCAGTTTGTTTAAATTAATTTTGTTAGTTTTTTTTAAAGCTTATAATATCCCTAAACCTTAAAACTTTCATTACTTTTTTAAATTCAAATTAGATGAAAGTAAAATTACAATCATAATATAAAACAAAACAAAGTTTCATAAATCTGTTAAGCAAAAGTAAAGGCAATAACTTTTTGATTTTTTTGTTCGAAATGAGTTTTATATTTTATTATACATATGTATTCATATTTTGTAAAAATTTTATGCAATTTCTTAGATATAAATGAAGGCTACGAAAGTCAGAAAAGAGAAGATATAAGCACTATCAATATGAGATATGGTACATTTAATACCACACTAATTTATTATAAAATGTTAAATTCCTATTTTTAAATTTAATTTTATGTTTCTTTTACAATTTTTAAAATTTTATGTAAATGAACAGTTTGAATTAACTTAAAAGTATTTTTTTATTTGAAAAAAAATTAAAGTAATTTTATTGCATATTTGAAATAAAATATTGTCAAAAATCTGTTTAGTATTATCTTTTGAAGAATGATATTATTTACTTTTGGCTTTTGAAAAAAAAATTAACATTCAATATTTAAGACTAATATTTTCTTTTGTAAATTTAGGAGTTTTCTCTGATATGAAGTTTAAAGATGGTAAAACTTTTTTCATTTTTGTTTGGTTTTTAATTTTGTTGACTTTTTTTATTTATTAAAAATTAACGTTTATCAAATTTATTTCTTACCAAAAAAAAAAAAAAAAAATTAACACGTCTTATTTTAACTTTTATTTCATTTTAAGTGCTTTTTGATTTTATTGCATTTTTGAATAGTTTAAACATAAAACTTAATTAATTTAACTATTGAACAATAATTAGTTAAATTTATAAGCAAGTTGCTAATATTTCAAATATTGTACATTTAAAGGAACCATTTTACATTTAAACCAACCGTTATACATTTAAATCAACCATTAAACATTTAAACCAACCGTTAAACATTTAAACCAACCATTGTACATTTAAACCATTCATTGTACATTTAAACCAACAATTGTACATTTTAACTTATGTTTAAAAGCTATTCCCAGTAATTATTTTTGATTTACTGAACTTTGTGCTCTGTTCTGAACTCTGGACACAAAACAATGTTAAAAATCTCAGCTAACAATGTTCTATCTGCTATTTGATTTCCTGTAATGTTTTTGCTACAACAGTCTTCAAAAACTTTAGGCTTTGACCAATTTAACTTCAGAAAACTGAATCTGAAACTGTTATCTTTAACTGTAACTTCAGGGCTTGTATTAAAACTTTTAAACAAATATTTTAAAAGTGTTGGTTACCATGAAATGTTGGTTAATATAAGCTACTTTTTCTTCGTGTATATTTAGGAGATAATTTTTTTTCTTAAATTTGTATATATATGTATATATATATGCAATATATATATATATATTGTATATATATATATATATATATATATATATATATATATATATATATATATATATATATATATATATATATATATATATATATATATATATATATATATATATATATATATATATATATATATATATATATATATATATATATATATATATATATATATATATATATATATACATATATATATATATATATATATATATATATATATATATATATATATATATATATATATATATATATATATGTATATATATATATATATATATATATATATATATATATATATATATATATATATATATATATATATATATATATATATATATATATATATATATTATAAAATTTAATTCTATGGACATTAATTTCTAAGAATGGTTTAAAATAAAGATCAGTGGTTGTCGAATAAGTTATTTCTTTTGGAGAATTACACAGAAAATGATTGCTAAACTATTTCCTAAGGGACTAATTACGCACGAGGATTTATCACATAAAGCTCTAGCGTTAAACTCTATGTTAGTTGAAATAACAACGCGAGAAGAATATACACAGTTAGTGCAATAATAAGTTGTAGCAATTTAATATATAGATATAGAAGTAAATATCAAACAAATATTAAACCAATTTTTTTACAGTTAATAAGAAGACGAAACATTACATGCTACTAAAAGTGGACAGAAAAATTTTGCAGAAAGATTTTGGAAAGTTTTTTATTTATAAAAGAAAAAACGAAATGGACTTCATTGAATCAAATATTGCGGTTACTTGGAAAAAATGGGAACAAACTATGCAGTTGTATTTAAAAGATGCAGTGTCAAATAAACCTGAAGAAGAAAAATACTCAAAATTCTTATTAATTATTTATGAAAAGGGAAAAAAATTATTCAACATATGGACTTGGAAAAAAAATACAAAATGACAATGGTGATTTTGATGACATTCTGATAAAAGAACTGTTTGAAAAATTTGAAGAATACTGTTTACCGAAAAGAAGGTTTTGGAAAGAAGAAAGTTTTTCTTACAAAAACAATATGTCAATGAATCATTTAATTTTGAAGAATTTGCAATGAAGAAACTAAATTAATTACACACAAAAAATATATTTTAACTAAATTGTTTACACACAAAAAAGATATTTTAACTAAATTATAATTACACACATATAAGATGTGTTAAAAAAAAATTCATAAAGCCAAGACAAGCAAATACGGCAATCGGAAAAATACTAAATCGAATAACAAAAATGTTTTAAAATGATAAACAGACTGGGTTGAATCAAATAAACAAAACTGGACGCAAATAAATATTCGTTCAAATACAAAACTGTAACAAAGGCAGGGCAAGAAATGCAATAGAACACATGAACCAAAAAACTGCCCGGTATTTGGTCAAACATGTCACAAATGTAAGAAAAAAACTTATTCGGCAGCAATCATTGCTGCAACTCAAAAAATATACACGAATATTGTGCTGTTGAATACCATGTTGAATTCGTATCATATGATGAAATGGATTGAAAAAAAGAAGCTTTGATATCTTCAAAATCAACAATTGACATTGGATTTGAAAATGATGTTATGCCAAAAAGAGTCTAGGACCAACTAACATCACATGATAATCTTACTTATACAAATGCTAAGCTATATGATTATTTATGGAATTATATTCCAGTACGTGGAACATCAAAGATGACGTATTACTACAAAGGTTGAAAACAACATCAAATTGTAATACGTATTAATACAAAGGTTGAAAACAACCTTTGTAGTAATACGTCATCAAAGATGACGTATTACTACAAAGGTTGGAAACAACAAGCAAACTCGTTCTTAGCTTACAAACTTCACAATTAGCTATCAAACTAATAGATGGAGAAAAAAACTGTAGACACCAACGAATCTAATTGTAAACAGCAAAAAGAAATATTTACTCTAAATAAAATAAAGCAGACTAGAGAGAAACAAAGAAAAGAGTTAAAAGTTGAATACTCAAAAAAAAAAAAAAAAATTAATGATATCAAGTGAAATACCAAATCGTTCATTTTAATTGTGGCAACTGATTTTATTCACTGGAAGAATCAGGATTTTCTAATAGTGGTTCACTATTATAGTTGATATTGGGAAATAAAAAGATTTCAAAACATTCAATCGCAAAAAATAATAAAGAAACTAAAAAGGATTTTTTTCTAGACTTGGCATATGGCAGATGATACGGAGTGACAACGGTACAAAATTCAAATCTTCAGAATTCCGAAAATTTAGTAAAGAGTAGGAGTTTAAACATACAACTAGTAGCCCACAGTATCGAAAATGAAACGGAATGGCTAAGAGACATGTGCAAATACCAAAAAAAAGTGCTAACCAAAGCAAAAAGATCGAATCAAGATCTGTACATAGATCTACTAGAGGTAAAATACTCCTGTTGATGGTTTTGCATCATCTGCTCAACTCATCAGTGGAAATAGATTGAGATCAAGACTGTCACTATTTCGATGTAAATCCAATTGACATAAATGAATTTAAGAACAATTATGAAAAATTCAAAACTTATAGATAAAAAATTACGACAAAAACGTGAAAACATTGGAAAACATAGGTGTGGGAGACAGTGTTTGCATCCATGATTGAAATAAATAGCAACCAGGAAAAGTTGTTGAGAACAAACAACTACAAAGTTTTAATGTAAAAACTATAAATGGAAATATTATCAGAAGGAATAGAAGACATATACTAAAAACAAAAGGCTAAGGTTGATTGAAATGTTAATTTATCAGATGATGACAGCGATACTAATGAATCAAAAGATGTGTTTATGGGTAAAAGAAAACTGTCAAAAAACACAAAAAATGATCCAAATACAAATCAAGATGAATTAACAAATAGCATCATAAATATCGCAAAATCAGGAAGAATTTCGAGGTAACCTAGACATTATATTGATTACGAAATGCATTTTAAAAAGAAAGAAGGTATTATGATTGTAACGCAAACATTTTTTACTGGATAATAATTTTAAACAATCGTTTAAAGTAACAATTAGCGATTGTGGAATAAGTAATTTCTATTAGAGAGCTACACGGAAAATGATTGCTAAACTATTTCCAAAGGGAATAATTTTGTACAGTTATACTACATTCATAACTTATTTAAGATAAAAGTGGGCACAGACGTAAAAAAGACGTCCTATAAACGTCTTATAGACGTTTTGGACGTCTTTTGAACGTTTTGGACGTCTTTTGAACGTCTTTTGAAAATTATAATTTTGTACAAGGAATTATAACTTAAAAGCTGTAAAGCTAAACTTAACGTTACTTGAAATAACGACACAAGAAAATTATACAAGAAGATAATATAATAACTAGTTGTAACAATTTAATATATAGATAAAGAAATAAATATATAACAAATAAATATAAAAGCGATTCTCTTTCTTATAGTAAACAAGAAAATGAAACATTACACAATGGAACTAAAATGTTTTTTTAAAGAATTTTTTAAATTAAAACTATTAGTGTTCTTTATTTACAAGTTTAGCACATTTAGTCTCGGGCATATAAAGGGAGCAAGAGGTGTAACTTCTCCTCAACCCCCTTCCCTATATAACTTCGAGGTTAAACACTCATCATTTCTGATTGGCCAAAAGTAATTTTTCAATCAAGTTGATTTACATATTCAGCAAACCTAACCACTGAAATTCGTCATAAAAACATGCAATATAAATTATGTTTTTAAATTTCTAATCAAATCTCTTTATTATTTTCGTTTTTAGGAATAATATCAAATACTTCAGTATGTCCATCAACGTTTGTTTTTTTATAACTTATGGTATATCAACTTAATATATAATATTATAAAATGATGATACATCGTTGTTTAAATTGTTGGAGTAAAATGATGTTATATCTTTGCGCCAACTGTTCAACCATCTGAATATCTTTTTTCTAATTTGCTCAAGTTTAGTAGACATCCTCCTTTAAAAATAACTTAAAACAGTTATTTTAGCTTTACAAAAAAAGGACATTAAAATATCATCCAAAATATATTTAGGATGATATTTTAATGAAAGTAACTAATGTAATTTCAATAAGTAACTAACTATTTCAAGTAAGTAACTTGATATTTTAAAAAGTAACTAATGAGTTTATATGCTCATTAGTTACTTGTTCTAGACTTTCTTAACAAACTACTATTTTAACAGTCCCTC